TCTGCCCGCCCGGCGGAAGCCTGGCCCGCTGCCTCACCTCCCCGCCGCCCGGCTGCCACGCGCCAGATGGAGCGCGTGGTTGCGACTCGGTTTGATGTGGAGGGCGGGTGTGAAGAGTTCCTGGTGAAGTGGCGGGGCCTGGAGTATGACAAAGCCACCTGGGAGCCGCGGGAGGAGCTGGCCCGCGACGTGGAGGCGCTCAGCAAGGTGGGGGCGGGGCGGGGCTTGGCGCTGGTTGTGTGTGTGTGGTGGTGGTGTGTGTGTGTGTGGGGGGGGGGGGGGCTCGGGGGCGGTTGCTGCTAGCTGGGTGTGCCCAGGGGCGCTGTTAGGGTTGGCTGTTGGCGTCTGCTTGCTGGGGCCTGCCGGTTCGGGATGGCGTGTCGGGGCTGCGTGCCCACCTGCCTGCCTCCCCGCCAACCGGTCTGCCCCTTTCCTGCCTGCCCTTGCCTTACCTGCCCACCCCCGTCCCCGTGCCCGCAGTTTGAGCGGCGCATGGCGCTGCGTGTGGAGCGGGATGCGGAGGCGGAGCAGCGGGCGCGCAAGGCCGAGGCGGCGGCGGCGATGGAGGAGCAGCCGGGCTGGCTGGTGGATGTGGGGCTCCTCAAGGACTACCAGATAGAGGGTGGGTGGGCCTGGGTGCATGTGTGTGTGCCTGCAGGGTCCTGCCGCTGCACCAGCACAGCTGCTGCAGCAGCAGGCTCTTGCCGCCGGGGCCCAGCCAGCCACCTCGCCCGACCTGCGGCGGCGCGCGCCGCGCCTGCTTTGCGCTGCAGGCGTGGGCTGGGCGCTGGGCAAGCTGCGGGGCGGCATGTCTGTGATCCTGGGCGACGAGATGGGGCTCGGCAAGACGATACAGGCAGCCGTCTTCCTGCAGGCGAGAGTGTATATGCGTGTGGTGTGTGGGCAGTATGGTGGTGCAGGTGAAGGTGGCGGAGGCGGCTGCCGATTGAGCATCTGGGGTTGGGGGTGTGTTCCTGTGTGTGTTGTGCTGGTGCTGGCCGGAGAAGCAGGCGTCGAGCAGCTCGCCGGCCCCCCTCCCCCCACCACCAACCAACCACCTCGCCGGCCCCCCTCCCCCTATCACCAACCAACCACCTCACCGCCCGCCCCTGCCGCAGCTGGCGCGGGAGCGTGGGCTGACCACGGGCCCCGTGGCGGTGGTGGTGCCGCTCAGCACCTTTGGCAGCTGGGAACGTGAGATGGCCAAGTGGGCGCCCGGCCTGGAGGTCCTGTCCTACAGCGGGCACCAGGAGGCGCGGGCGCTCATCCGCAAGTGAGGGAGGCAGCCGGGGGAAGGGGCTTGGTTGGGGTTGAGGGATGGTTGCTGGGGGGTGTGCAGGGCCCTGGGCCGCACCGTGTGTTCCCTCGCGCCTGCTGCTGCCATGCTGCTGGCATGCCGCTGCTGTGCGGCCCCTCACCACACCCGCCCAGCACCTGCTCAACTCATATGCTGCTCAAATCATGTGCTGCCCCTGCCCTCTCAACCCAGGTATGAGCTGGGCAGCGAGGAGGACGACATGGAGGCGGTGCGCCGTAGGCAGACCTCCCTCATCCCGCGCTTCCACGTCATGCTGGTGAGCTTTTGAAAGCTTGAAGCAGCGGGGCACAGCCTCCGAACGACCCGCCTCGCGCCTCTCGCGCGGGGCTGCGCTGTGGTGTGCTGTGCCTGCTGGGCTGCTTTGACCCACCACGCCTCTCCGCTGCGCTTGCCTGGTGCGCTGCTGCAGACGACGTACGACGTGGTAATCCGCGACGCGCCCATGCTCAAGCGCTTTGACTGGTCGGCGCTGATCATCGATGAGGGGCACAGCCTGAAAGGTGTGCGGGGAGGTGGTGGAGGCGGTTTCACACAGCGCGTGTGTGTATGTGTGTGTGCGCGCACGCGCGTGTGTGTGTGTGTGTGTGTGTGTGCTGAGGCCGATCCCGGCAGCCACAACAAGGACTATTGCCGCCGCCTGCAGTCACTCGGCTGACGCTGCCTGCTTCTGGCCCCTGCCCGGGCGCTGGTGCAGGACAGGACAGCCAGCGCGGGCGCATGCTGCGCGAGCTTGGCGCCCCCTGGCGCATGCTGCTCACCGGCACGCCGCTGCAGGTGAGCGGGCACCGCGGCTGCATGTGCAGGTCTGGTGCTTCTTTTGGTCGCCTCGACTCGTATCTCCCACCGCACCTGTTTGCGCTGCCCCCCCCACGACCCAACCACCCTGCCACCACCACTGCACCCAACCATGCAGAACAACCTGCGGGAGCTGCTGGCGCTGCTAGCCTTCATGGCTGACACCACTATCGACCACATAGAGTGCCGCATCAAGGTGGGTGGGCAGCCTGGGTGGGGCGTTCAGTGTGTGTGTGCTGGTGCGTGTGATGTGCACATGTGCACGATGGGCCCACCCCCAAAGGCCGTACCGCCCGCCCCTCACGCCTCCTGCAGAGCATGCCAGACCCCAGCCCGCCGCAGCCGGGCGCGCAGGCGGGCGGGGAGGAGGATGCGGAGCTGCTGCAGGCGCAGGCGTACATCAGGTGTGCCCGCCCGCCTCCCTCCGCCGCCCTCCTGCAGCCTTGCCTGCCGGCCGGGTGGCCTGCGCTGTGTGTGCCCCCTCCCTGCCCGCCTCCCTCCACCGCCTGCCTGCAGCCTTGCCTGACTGCCCACCCGCTGCTACCACCCTGCTCAGCGTCCCATCCGCTCGCTCACACCCACCCACCCGCCTCCCTGCCTGCCTTTTCTTTCCACCCGCAGGAAGCTGCACGCGTACCTGGAGCCGCGCATGCTGCGCCGCATGAAGGCCGTGTGCCTCAAGGGACAGATGCCGCCCAAGGCGAGGAGGGGGAGGCGGGCATGGCGGGGCGGGAGCTGCCTGTGTTGGTGTGGGTTGTGGTGGCAGCGGTAGTAGTGATTGTGAGGCCACACCTGCGCGGTGGTTGTTGTCCTTAGCTGCAGCACTTGACCCAATACCCGCCCGTTTGCCAACCAATGCACGAACCGCCTTTTGCCCTGACGTGCGCTCGCCTCCTGCAGATCACCCGCAAGGTGGCGTGTCGCATGACGCCGCTGCAGCTGCAGCTGTACGCGGATGTGCTGGCCAAGGACTGGGATCGCGTGAACGCCATGGGTGAGCTGGCGCTGAGCTGGCGCTGGCGCTGAGCTGGCGCTCGGTGCTGAAGTGGCGCAGCTGAGGCGGCATGCATGCTGGCTGGCTGCATCCGGCGTGCCGAGGTGGCACATCGGGCCAGCGGGAGCGGGGAGCAGGCGGCCGTGGAGCACTGCCATCGCAGGCGGTGGAGGCGGCAGCGCGGTGCACGGCTTCGCTCGCAAGATGCCTGCCTGCCTGCCTGCCTGCCCTGCCTGCGCCTCGCAGTGCGCAACCGGCTGGAGAAGAAGAGCATGAACAACATCTTGATGCGCCTGCGCCAGGCCTGCAACCATCCCTATCTGCTGCCCGGCCAGGAGCCTGAGGTGGGCCCCTGTGCTGGTTGGCGGTGCGGTGGGGTGGGCGGGCCCTCAGGGAGCCTCGGTGCTGCACCCGGCAGCTTGCTGAGCTCCCAGGAGCCAGGCGCTGGGCCCAGGCGCCCTGCCCTGAAGCAGCTGCAGCATGCTGTACCGCAGCATGGTGCCCCCCACCCACCACGGTACCGCCGCTGTACCGCAGGAGTTCAAGGACCCCGACAGCGCTGAGCTGGCGGAGCAGGGGTGGCGCCTCATGGTGGCGGCCAGCGGGAAGCTGACCCTGCTGCAGCAGGTGAGGTGCCGTACTGCCTGGCCCGCCTGTCTGGTCCTCGCCCTGGCGGCCCCGCGCGACCTGCGGCGCGGCCTCCCCAGCCCTCCAGCCCGGCTCGACGGCGCTTGCGTCTTGCAGGTGCTGCCGCGCCTGCTGGCGGACGGCCACCGCGTGCTCATCTTCTCGCAATACGTGGAGGTGTGGTGCTGGAGGCGATTCGGCAGGAGACCAACATGCATCCCCCACTAGGGGAGCCTATGGGGGGCTATGCACCCAACCGCTGTGTGCTGCTCCACGCCACGCCCACACCCTGCCCCAAGAATGCCGCCACCGCATCCGCCACCGCATTCACATCCCCTTCCCTACCTCCCCTCCCTTCCTCCTCCCCTCCCACAGATGCTGGACATACTGGAGGACTTTCTTCACGACTTCCAGGACGCATCGGGGCTGCTGCCCAAGGCCGAGCAGGACGCAGCGCCGGCCGGCGGCAGCGGCGGCGGCGCCAGCGGCAGCGAGGAGGCGGCGGTCGCTGCCAGGCGCGTGATGCCGGCCGCGTGCGGGCTCGCCCTGTCACATCTCGCCTGCACCAGGCCCACACCTTGGCTGTTTCCGCTCCAAACCCAACCCCGCCCCTGCCGCCTCTTGTTCGTTACTGCCTGCCCCGTCCCGGCTGGCTCTCCCCTGCAGCGGCGGCGAGGATGGCGGCGGCGCCAGCGAGCCCCCCGCCAGCGAGGCGCACGGCGGCGAGGAGGAGGAGGACTTTGTGCG